CGCCGAGGTTCATGTTTTCACAACAAAGTGGAATGGGATGGCTGATGGAGACGGTAAACATTCCAGGGGAGTGTCATCGAGTGCTTTGGATGAATGAGGTTATTTTTCATGATCTTCATGATGTGTTGGTTGAGAGGTACGGATTAAAACCATCGAAACACATTAATACATATGAAATGTTGGCCATTTTCCTATTCACATGTGGTGGGTGTGAGTCAAATAGAAGAGAACAAAATAAGTTCAAACACTCAGGTGAAACCATAAATTTCATGAAGTTCTAGATTGTGTGGTTGCTATGGCACAAGATTTCTTGAGACCAACATATCCTAATTTTTGCAATGTACACAGAGAGGATTAGGAATGACAAGAGAGCATATCCACATTTTAAGGATTGCATTGGTGCACTTGATGGAACCCATATTCGTGTGTCTTTATCACCTGAAGAACAAGTGAGATATATTGGTAAGACTGGAATTGCAACTCAAAATATGCTTGCCGTTTGTGATTTTAATATGCGCTTCACGTATGTGGCTGCGGGTCAACCGGGTTCTTTGCATGACACTAGTGTATTGTACCATGCATTGGAAGCAGATGTAGATGTCTTCCCACATCCTCCTCAAGGTAAATATTTTTGGTTACATTCTTTTTCATACTTGAATGCATAAACTTATCTTGTTTTACATACTTGTAGGCAAGTACTATGTTGTAGATGCGGGCTATCCTAATCGTCCGGGGTACCTAGCTCCATACAAGGGTGAAAGATACCACTTACCCGAGTGGCATCGAGGTATGAAACCAAATACTCTAAAAGAGAAGTTCAACCATATACACTCATCTGTCCGTAATGTTATTGAGCGCTCATTTGGAGTATTAAAAATGAAATGGCAAATCCTTTACAAGATGCCCGGTTATTCAATGGTCACACAAAAGAAGATTGTTGCTGCTACCATGGTCACACACAATTTCATACGTGAACATGCTAGTGTTGATGTGGACTTTGCTAATTTTGATAGAGATCCTACCTACATGCCTACTATTCTGGAAAGGTACAACAAGTATGCCGTGTCTCAACATGCCTCCGATGGATCAACTTCGGAATCAAGCTTTGTGACTATGGACACCTTTCGTAATAATATGGCTACATCCATCGACCTAGCATGGAATTAGTGCAATAATTATTGTAACAATCTTATTTTGGAACTATGAACTTATTTCGTAATTTCGGTTCTAGGAAAATGACATGTAATTTATTATTATTTTGGACTCCACTGCATGTACTTTCATTTCATATTTGTGAGAAGTAGTTCAAGTCAAACCAAGGGCAAGAATGGTAATCTACCCTCAAACTCATCTTTTCTAGAGCTGGGGACACCCTCTCACCAAACACCATCATCAGACAGCTCCAACTCCACCTAGAGCTAACTCCACCTAGAGTTCTGGAGTGGAGCAGCTCCACCCAGAGTTGGAGTCATGCCAAACAGTGCCCTAAAGAGGTGCTCCACAAACTAACTGGAGTTTGTGGAGCAGTCCCAAACACCCCCTAAGAGCAAGAGCGTGTATTTAAATTTTTATCAAATGGCTCAAACTATGCTCAATATTTTTTGTAAAATAATAATTGCATTAAGTGATCATTTGTATTTTATCAAATTTCTAAGAGTTTATCAAAATATTTTAATAAAGTTAAATTTGAACTTAGTTAACCCATACTTCTATGTACTACTACTTTAGAAAAGATAACCAATTATTTAATTATATTTCACTTATCTTTTTTGGGCATACATTTACCTTGGGATTGCAATCCACTCCTAATGGATATCCGATAGAACTATCCGACCTAGCTATCCGGATTATTTGATCGGATATCCGATTGCGACGGGCATCGCCCATCTTATATTTGTATTCGATATTTGAAAAAAAATCTGAATCCATATTTGACATCCAAAAGAAAATATGTCTGAATCACTATCCAATCTTCTTCGGTTGATCAGACGGTCAGAAAATCCCTATACTCCTTACAGCTCTAGGGATATTAGTGTGAAACTTTGGATCAGGATTAGCCTAGCCTAATGGCAAGAACATTGTTACATAGTTTCAAAAAAAAAACATTGTTGTTTCAAAAAAAAAGGAAAATTGTTACATGGTTCAGGTAGTATTTGCAGGCGATTCATATCAGTGGGCCTCAATGTTAAGACCGGTTGGGCTATCTCGGCCCAACCGTCGACCACCTGGTCCACCTCCCTCGTTCCGTCTCCCTCTTCGCAACGGATTCCTACGCCGCCGCCGCCGCCTTCTTGCTCACCGCCGACAGTGCCTCAGTCCAGAATCCAGATCGAGCCTCCCTCTTCCCAGATCGGGTCCTAGCTGGGATACTGCCGCCGCCCAACGCCAGGTGCCGAGTCCTTCGCCGGCGAAGAGCGCCGACCAGGTATTCCCACCCCCCTTCTCTTCCCTGTCTGCTGTGCAAAGCCGAGTTCCCAAACTCTAACCTCAAGCCATCTGTTTATTTGATGCCTACTAACTTATTCCAATTCTATTCTTGTTGGGTCTGAAGTACGAGATTGAGGAAGATGGCCATGTTCTCATCCGCGCGCCTTGCCCTCCGCCGAGCTGCCTCTCTTGGGGCGGGCCTCTGCCGTGCCGCGGAGGATCCCTTTTCGCGAAGGCTTCTCCATGGGCAGCTCCTCCCACGTTCCTTTGCCTCCGATGCATTCGGACACAACAGGGTATCTCTATCTCATCCCAACTCTCTTGATTGATTTCATTCTCGATCTATTAGGTTAATCTAGGAGACCATGCATCTAGCCCCAGGCAAATGGGGTTGTGTCTGACATTTGCCTTGAAGGCAATTAGTTTTCCTTTCCACTTTGAGCAGTCAACCTTAGTGTTAATTACAATATTAACCATGACTTGCATCACTGTCTCTATTTATGATGGCGTTGTGTCATATTTATATCATCATATCAGACTTTTCAGACCTTACAAATGCTATTTTATTCTCTAGCATGTTTTGAGGGCACGCTGTGTGCACTCTATGGTGTTTTAGATTCATTCGGATAACAAAGAACTGCAGCCTATTGTTACCCAAAAACCATTGATAACAACTCTGGTTTTGTGATTAACAGAAGACGTGTTATTAGCATATTATCTAGTTGATAAATATCCACATCATACCATACACCAATCCATAAACCATAAAAGTTTAGCTTCGACTCTATAGGTTTCATTTGAGCAAATAAGGTGCCACTTTCAGACACTACTTATTAAATACAAATTCACATCTAACTAGAAAGAGAAAACTGAGAAAGCTAGTGAAGTGAAGATATCCAAGTTACCAGGTTCTGCTGCCCTCAAGGCATTGTATGATCTCTAGTGGCTTTCTACCTGTCAAGCTCCATAAGAACTACTTCCAAACATCTCTATACACCATCCGTTTCAAAATCCAAATTGCAAGTCATTTTGGTTTTTCTTGGTACATAGCTTTTGCGATGCACCTAGATATATATCTAGATTTAGAAAAGCCAAAACGACTTACAATTTAAAATGGAGGAAGTGCATCGTTTTTTCTAGGTTAGTTGGCCAGTCATTGCATACCTCCAGATGTTTTTAGATTGTGCGCAACAAAATTCATGGCAGTAGGTACAGTTCTTTAATCTAAATTCATGAGCCACAGGAAAAAAGTGAGGGCCATTTTATAATAAACAACTTACATCTTTTATATAAAAAATAAGTCTTAGCCAAAAAAAAATGACATCAAGAGTGAATGGCAATATTAGCCAAAAAAAAATGACATCAAGAGTGAATGGCAATATTAGCCAAAAAAAAATGACATCAAGAGTGAATGGCAATATTTGCTAACATGCAAGTTATCAGTCTTACAGTGTTGCATGTTTTTTTTTACTAATAAGGTTAAATCAGTGGAAAACAGAGCTGCAGCAAAAGATAATCACTGAAGATATTGTTCTTAGCAGTCAACACCAGAAAGACGACGGAAGGCCAGTATTATTGCGGAGAAAAAAAGAAGAGTGTGTGCTTCAGTCAGAAAGTACCTAGTTTCCATAGAACTCTTAGCAATTTCTAGACAAACTTTTCATAGAACTTTTTCAGTGGACAATGCACATGTCACTAAAACATGGAAGGTGAGAGAGCTTATCTGATCCATATCCTACAGGAGGATTCGTCCCGTGTAAGGAAACATGTTAGTCTTACATACTGTACAAAACAAAAACTGTGACAGATATTTAATTTTGGCAACCCACAAATAGCTGCATGACTGCAAAAAGAAAAAGTTAAATAGCTGTGGTTAAACAACAAGGGTCATGGGCCACTCTTTTAGCTGTAAGATATTTATGAGACAAAGAAAACTCCTGTTATAACAACTTTGGTGTTTCAAAGATGGCCATCGTCCACAATGACCGTGATCCAGTAAGGCCACATTAAGAATTCTCGCAGGATCCAATCTAGAAGAACCAGCTGCAAGTTCATCAGCATCTGAATCATCACACTTGACTACTTGAGATAGCACCTAGATCCTTGTGTGAAGCCCAGGAGCGAAATTATTCATAAAAAGTGTGCAAGATGACGTAACCTAGCTGAGCCAAATATGAACACAGAAATATTCAAGGTCATTCAAAATGGCAAGCACCACTCTGATCAGTGCATGGCAAGAACTTAATATATGACAGGGACACATCGCCACCATTTTTGTTTGATGTGAAAAATTGGAGAATGAAAAACAATAGCTACCTCGTGACTTTCTCTGGTTGGTCAGTTCTTACAAACCATGACTTTCTCTGGTTAGTCAGTATCTCCTGAAATCATCACCTTTCATTTCCTTTCTCTGGTTGGTCAATATCTCCTGAATCATCACCTTTCATTTCCTTTCTCTGGTTGGTCAGTTCTTAAAAACAGTTATTCTTATCATGTTTGTATCTCAAAAAAATCCACATAATAAATCTGAAATCCAATAGTGAGGGGAGGCCGAAGAGCCTTCGAGGGATTCGATGGCGGGAGTGAAGAAGTGCGGTGGATTCAGCGGCTGGGTGAGGGGAGCAGAAGAGCCATGGGGGATTTGGGGAGCAGAGGCCATGCGGAGTAGCCGGAAGTGGGTGACCGGGTGGGAAGGCGTTCGACCAAGTGGGGTGCCAGAGTGCAAAATGGTTGGACCATGGACACACTACATACTTTTTAAGTAAGAGAGAAGAGAGATCAGAGATGTCCAAAGTGTTAAGGATATCCTACTGGAGTGAGTGCATCACTTTACTGTTGTAATTTCATAATTTTCAAAGTGAAGTTTGTCAATCTTGGACTTTTTATGGGTTAGGGATTTTTCTTTGGTGTATTTTTTATGAAAAAAAATTGGTTCCATTCTATTCACAACAACATATAAACTTGTCTGCCACTTGTGGTCGATTTCCCTACAGCTGTTGGTGATGGTATTGATTAATGTTCATTCCCTTGCATAGTATTTCATATAGTTGTAGGTTTCTCATCTCCGAACCTACACAAGTGCTTGCAAATATCCTGATCGTATCATGAAAAGTAACTAAAAGCTGTTGCATTGGAGCTTGAAATTGAGATGATAATATCAGCAAGGATGCAACATGTTTTCACATGAGTTCTTAATTTTAGAAGTGTGTAGCTTTTCTTTTCATTACATTCTGTAAAGAATGAAAAAATGTCTCCACTGCTTGTATATTTCTGTGTTGCTTGTTTTAGCCACATGCTCTTACCCCATTTTTCATTCTCCGTGTGGAACATTGATATTATGCCTTGTAAACCATAGAATATTGAGATCACATTGCATCAATCACTGCTTATCAGAATTTTAACAGAATCAAATTTGTTTATCCAGCCTTTCCCACCTTCTGGGTCTGGAATTGCAGATATGGATCCGCGTCAGAATTTTAACAGTTTTAATTTTGTGCGTCAAGATATCCGTGCTAACGCACAGGTCAACTTCAACAACACAGATAATGCTGCGGCGATGTAAGTAGGCAAATGTAATTTTAATTCAACGTACACATGTATTTGTCTATTCCATTATTTGCTGATTACTCATTTCCGCTTCATTCTGGCTTGACATAAAGGTCCAGGACAGCAACTGGAGAGAAACCTTTCAGCTCAAGGGAGGGCTTCCCATTCAGCTCTTCACGTGCCTTTACTAAGGACCATGAACAATATTCTAAGAAGAAGAGAGATTTTGTCCATGTCTTGCTGAAGAGAAAAAAGACCTTTGTGACCGTGACAGACTCTAGCGGGAATAAAAAGACGGGGGCCTCCGCTGGTTGTTTGGAGGACAGGAAAGGGCGATCCCGTCTCTCTCGGTATGCTTCTGAAGCAGTCGCGGAGCATGTCGGACGATCCGCCAGAAAGATGGGTTTAAGCTCTGTTGTCATGAAAGTGAAAGGGGCTTCTTTCTTCAAGAAGAAGAAGAAAGTGATCTTGAGCTTCAGAGAAGGTTTCCGAGGTGAAAGAGTGAGAGATCGATCTCCTATCATGTACATCCACGATGTGACCCAACTTCCTCATAATGGATGCCGACTCCGCAAGCAACGCCGGGTGTAGTTTCTGAGTGAACTGGATTTAGAGTTGAGTTTAAAGAAAGAAGTGGGAAAGTATGGAAGGTGATACCAAAACCTTTTGTAATCGGTTTGCTGTTGGCCTAGTTGACTTAATAATATGGACATGTATTGTGTCTCTTGGATCTGTGCAAATCAACCCAGGTTTTTGCATGACATTAATTTGCTCGCTCAATGAGTTATAGACAATTCTTCAAGTTTTGTACTGGCGTAATAATGCTGTTAAGTTGTGATTTGTGAAATGTCTGCGGCGGTATGATATGAGGCCTTGAATTGAGAGCCGGGGATGACCCTCTCAAGCTTTGATCTAATTCTTGCCGCCTGATGACCTGAACACGTTCATATCTCTTTCCTTTTTTCAAAGAGGCCATGTTTGTCTTTCCTGTTCTTGCCATGTTCTTGACAGTAGAAGTTCGCCTGATGACAGTCTCCCGGACCATAAGCAGTTCCTTGTACTGTTACTGGAGATGGCAGCAGGCCTTGGCCCTTGGCGCTCACGGAAAGGGTGGCGCTGTTCACCGCCTGCAGGTTCCAGAGTGATGACTAGAAAGCCAGGTGCGGCTTTGCCGCGCCCTTGCTAGTTGCTACAGCAGCGAGCCGACCATTGCTACTAATAAATGATTAAAATTTTGAGTCCTCTGATGTGTAGGACTTGAGCACATGAGCTCGAATTTTTTTTGTATATATGCAACAACAATTACGAGCTGATATGTTGGCAGCTGAATATTCACTTATGTAGATCGACTACTAACAAGCTGAAAAAAGTCATAAATGATCAAATTTGCATGGACTATACCAGCATCGTTTGATCTGTGAGCCACACTTCAGAAATAATCTTGGTGAAAGTGTAATAGGGGGTAACTCATAATAGATACAGCTAAATTTGTCTTTCTTGCACTCGAGATATTGTAAAGTAAAGGCTTGTAAAAAGGGCTTCATGTAAGTAGAGGTCAAAACTGAATATGCTGTATAGGTAAGTTTATAACTACAGATCAGGTCGATTGTGAGCGTAGGAAAGTAGTGCGCCCGTGCATGACACGGCGATCATTGTAGTGTAGCACACTTGCATGGTAGGAGGACGCAGATGCAATGCAATGCTATTTGACTGGTTACCACCTAAAGGACAAAGATATTATGTCATTATTATTTGACACGCAAATGACCTGTGGTAGTCGAAATTAGGTGTCTCTGGGCATACATATAGTGTGCTAAACTAAGTTTCTCCCTAGCTAACTAAAACAAATTTCTAGGCAAATATTAGCATAGAAACACTCTTCCTATATAAACAACAATCACGAGTTCCAAACATCATAAATTCAACTAATTGATTTTTTCTAAATAGTGTATTACCTGGAAGGCTGGAGCAACTGTGCTCTTCGCAGGTTCAACATATTATGTATGTCCTAATCTTGAGATTCCAGGTCTTGCATCATGTTCAATTGTAGGAATTGAAGTTCAGGGTTTCATGTTATGGCATTGCAAATTTCAGAAACAATTAAAGCTTTAGAATTCCACAATCAAACTACAATATGCTACATGTAGTTTAGGTTATGATTGGCTAACATAAGGGATGCATCGTGCAGAGCATGGACTATATACAAAGCAAGAAGCAGTAGTATGAGGTCAAGTAGTTGCTAATATTCAAAGACTCAAAGCAATGAGCAACAATTTTTACACTGAAAATTTTAAATTGTGCCAAGCTATGCAGCATGATAACCATGAGTCTAGGAGATACTTTAAGACACAGAGCAAGGATACTTCAACTTCAATGATACACTCCCACATGGTTCTGGTATTGCACACTTTCTTTGCCTGAAATGAGGTGGAAATTTAACATGGCCTCATTCAGAGATAGAGCAAGGATACATGCGCCCGGAGACTACGGTGTTCCACGTATTATGTGTATCTTACCCTTCTATTAGTATCTGATTTAAACATTAAATTTTGTCAACGGAATTAATATTATTAATATTTATAGCGAAACATTTAGTGCAATTAGTACCTTAGAGTTTACAATGGAAGGTTGAATTAAGAGAACATCTATTACTGATTATGAGGATTTTTTACTTGAACTAAACCATTCCAAGGATATTGAAGTACTTGAGTACTGGTATTATTCGATGGCTTGTGCAGATCCAACTGTTGTACCCATATGAGATCTGTACAACAAATTGTCAAAGTTAATTAGATTGTTATTTCATCAGATTTTGTATTCACCGCTCAAGGATGCAATTGCAACGAGCGTGCCAAGGAGGAGAAAAGCAGCCGCAAACATTATGTAACCAGTTTCTTCAAAAAAGAAACAGGCTTGGAGGCAAGTCTACAAAGAAATGCAATTTTAGACGTATATACTATAATAGAGGCTTAGCTGTGGGACCCGCTGGCCAACTGCTCCTCGTGAACCCACCGCCGGCCCTTCAATAGTCTGCAGGCATCCTTTATCCTCCCGAGTGTAAAATGCTTCCGAGAGGCCGAGACCTGATGTAGAGCGGAGAGGTCATCGAAGCGACAAAATGGAAATTTTGCCATCATCAAACTTTGGACTTCGCTCTTTTGTCATCATGCAAAAGAAGGTGCACACACCAAAATACCATTTTGCTGATTTCTCCCCAATTTTATTATTATTTTTATTCCAACCAAACTTTAATTTCCGTTTACCCCTGCCCCTAAACTCAAAGCCTTATCTCTTTCATCCTGTTCATCTTCCTCACACGCACACACACCAGCAGGCCGTTGTCGCCCCAATGCACACTGTGCCGCCCCGACACCAGCACGCGCGGCGCTACTCCTGGCCATCCCACCGCCGCTGCCCTTCCCCAGGCCGCCGCCCGCCCCAACGCCAGCCCCACTGCCGCACTGCCACCACCCCGCTGTCGCGGCCGTCCAACGCTGCGCCGCCACCGGCTGACGCTGGCTCGCCGCCTCCGAGTAGGCACGCGCCATCGTCCATGACTGAGTAGACGTCCGCCCCCAGCTCGAGCCGTCCCATCACGGACCTCCACTGCACGACATCGCCGACCTCCACCTGAGCACATCAACCGCAATCGGGGCAATGCTCTTCGTGGTGTCGGTGTGCGGCCGCCCGTGCAAGAGCAGCGGTGGCGGGCTGGCGTGCGTGTGGTGCTGCGGTAGGCTCGCGTTGGGGTGGTGTGGTGGCTGATCCCCGTGAGAATGAGATTGGTGCGGCTGCTGGCCGGCATGCGTGCGTGTGTGAGGAGAGAGGCAGAGGGAGATGTGCGTGCGAATTGTGAGCAAGAAGAAATGATGGCTGAGGTATTTTGGACAGAGGTAAAACAGGAATAAAAGTTTAGTTAAAATAAAAAAATAATTAAATTAGAGAGAAATAAAGAGAATGACTTTTGTACCTAGTTTTATAGTGGCATTCTAGCTAAATCCCATTTGCATGATGGCAAACAGGCGCCCAAATCTGATGATGGCAAAATTGCCATTTTCTCCATGGAAGCTATGCCGACACCGAGGCTGACGAAGACGCGGCTCACCACGAGCTGCGCGGGGTCCGTGGCCGACGCCATGACGACCGAGGAAGAGGCAGCACGGGCCGACGGTGGAGTAGCTGCGCGCCTTTGCCGCGGGGCCATGGCTGGCCGCCATGGGGCCTCATGCGCGACGCGCGTGCGGAGACGCGGCGGGCTCCCCGACGCAGCTCCAGGCGGGCGGCGCGGCGAGCTCCTCGGCATATCTCCAGGTGTGAGGCATGACAGGCTGCGGCGAGGTTCGAGGCGAGTCGCGCGGTAAGCTCCCCGGCGTGACAGGCTCCAGGCGGTCGGCCGGGTGACTGGCTGCAGGGCGGCGGCGCGGTGGCCCAATCACCGGTCATGGTAGCGCGAGGCGCCGTCTGGCCCAGTGCGACCACATCCCGCGCCCAGCCCAGGCGCACCGGGGGTGGCCACAGCTCGGCCGTAGGTGCCCCGTGGCCGGCTGTCCACGTCGGTGGCTGCACTGCCCGTGAGCAGCACGGCCCGCGCGACGCTCGTGTTGTGAGCCGGCGAGCTGTGCTGGGCCTGAGCGCCCCCGAGGCTGACCTCTTCTCGTCCGGAGGGAGCCCGGAGCGGGCTGGCCACGGGCATGCACGACGCGGCCGCGCTGCTCGCGTCTCTGCGATGAGGTGGCGCGCGCTGGGCGAGCGAGTGGGGGTTAGGCCGGCGGCGAGGAAGGTGAGCGCCGCCGTGTGCGGATGGCCGAGGCCCAAGGCCCGAGGCGTGGCCTAGCCGCGAGCTCGGGGGAAAGATCTAGAACCGCCGGTTGCTTAGCCCGTTTCAGACGTCCGATCGAAATCGGATGAACATCAAAAAGAGAGAGACGTGGCCCAATGAGGTGCTAGAGTTTGGCTCAGGTTTAGAAAGGAAGAGATAGAACAGAAGTAATTAGTCAGGAAAAGCGAATAGAATAGGCCTACTGGGCTGACAAAAGTACCTCGTGGCCCATAAGTGAGTACGAAAGAGAAACCCATCCATGACCGACAGGAAGGTTCTCTTCTCTGCTACGGGAATGGGAATGGGATCAGTGCTACATGAAGTTCAGGACTCTGGACACGCCACAACTGCGTGGACTTCTTTATTTATTGCAACATGAAGTTCAGGTCCCTTGCCGAGAGACTCGAGAGAGAGGAGTGATGTGCATGTGCTGGCTTGCAAGACGGCAATGGGCGTTGGTGGCTCAGCGGAGTTACGTTGTACTGTATGGCTTCGTTGTTTTTCCCTGGGTATAGCGCTTTCGGGGCTATACTTTTGTTGTATCTTTTTTGTGCTATATATCAGTAGATTGTTTGGTATCATTCATTAAACATATTAAGCAACTATACTAGTTTTTTTTTACCTCAAAATAACTTGTAGGCTCGATCGACACGTCATCAGTTCGTTTTTTTTTTCCTGAACAAATGTCGGCACTTCACTTGTATGCAATGAAATGGCAGCTTTAACCTCAGTTCACTACTTAGGAGCAAGAGCAACCTCGTCTTGCTCTGCCTTGCACTGATAAAGGTTCAACTCTGAATGGCACCAATGGCAGCAAAAGGAAATGGACAAATGGTCGATCAGCCAGTGCAGACGCGCAATAGTCAAACGTGTCTGGAAACACCGTGTGCAGAGTGTTCAGCTCCACCACCGAGCGTCTCGGGGGTTGGAAACGTTAGCGATGGCTGCTCCACTGCACGATTGGCAGTACAGTGCTGGCTCCATTCGCTCGGAGGAATTTAGAGAAATTTATAAGAGAAAAATACTATTTCGGATGAAAAAAGAAACGGATGTTTAAAGACACGCGAACGGGACCATACGCCGGAGCTCGGACAGTCGTCCTGCCAAATTATCTAGAGACAACGGAGGCGTCGCATTCCCATGTCACCATCAGTAGCAAGACATTCAGCATCTGATGATTCACCCAGCGTCCAACGAGGATTGGGATCCTGGTCTCAATCTCAACCACACGTACGAATACAATATATAGTATAGCCGTCTATGTAGGACCGAGACAATATTCCTAAACAAAGATAGCTCTCTCCACCTGCAACTTCCGAAGATCCAATGCATTGACTACAACATTGTATTTTGTATGCTTACATTATCTACACCATCGACATCACTTACGTATGAACAAACCACTCAGTTGCAATTGTGGCACCCACACCGAACCATGTTGCTCTTGCTGACAGGAGGACCAAAAGTTCCTTAACGACGTCACTTTCCCGGACTTGTGAAGCTCCCAATGAATCAATGCCCTGTTCGCGTTCGCCTTGGCTGATAAGCCATGGCTGAAAATATTGTTGACTGATTTATTGTGAGAAAAATATTGTTCGTTGCTGAAAAAGTATGGCTTATAAGAGCGAACGGAGCGCAAAGTGCATAGATACTTTAAAAATTTCGAGCAGATATACATGCGGATTGTTTACCAGGTGCAGTGAGTCAGAAAACACAAATCTGGACACGTCAAAGCATCTCCGAGAGACTCTCCATATCCTTTCTAAATGCTAGGGATAGAGATTTTGATGAAAAACTACACTCCAACAGCTTTTCTAAATGATCATCTAAACATAGCCATCTTCTATTCCGGATTTTTCGCTAGTCAAAAATAAAAGACGAGAATGGCTCTCTAATGACGCTCTAAATAATGATTTAGAAAGGTTTTTGAAGATGCTCTCATGCTGGTGGGGCGCACAGCTTAAACAAAACATTGTCAAGATTCATGGGCCACTGAAGAAGATTAACAAAAGAAATGATAGCAACTTTTACCTGAAAATAACTTCTAAACCCAATCAGGCACTTCTGACATTTCCCATGCACAGAAGATGCACATACAGTGGAGCTGTGAATGGAAAGCTTGAACCTGAATTCAGCAAAAGGACCCTGCTCAGGGGAATTCTCAAAGAACACAGAAATACAGATTTGCTTGTCACACTGCAACAGTAACTTCAGCTTGCTACGACTACGAAGGGAAACCAGACCTCAATCAGGTGCCGTGTACAGTAACATGAAGCATTTTCAACCAAGTCAATTATGTGAACATACAGCATTATCAAGTGTACAAATGCAAAGATGATGTAACCAGATGAATAAATCGTAAAGAAGCTCGGCTACATTCTCAGGACCAACTCAAGTAAAAACTGACAATGTCATCACCAAAGCGTAACCTCAAGTAAAAACTGACAATGTCATCCAAATTCTCACCAAATAAAAAAAAAAGAGAGCTGATGAACCCAGGAGATAAGGATTTAGGAGATCCTACAACCACCAAGCAGCCTTTTCTCGCTAGAAATGCGCTCAAGTAAAAAGGATGTCCAAAGTTTCAATTATGTATTAAATGCATTTGGCAAAGAAAGTGTGTTTTTTCTCAAGCATTGCCGGGACTTCCTACTCACTTGTGTAAAGACCGTAATAGCTTCATAATGGCTACTGAACATGGTACCTTCACCATAAAGAAAAAAATAGATCAAACAACAATGATGTACAGGACAAGCCAGCAGACAGTAAAATTAATAGAATTATAAGCAAAAATGGAATGCACCAACTTTCTTATATGACAGTAAAATGTGAACCATAAGTGATACTCCAAGTAAAAAGAATATCCAAAGTTCTAATTCTGTATTAAATGCATTTGGCAAAGAAAGTGTGCTCTTTTCTCAAGCAAGCATTGCAAGGCCGTAACAGCTTCATAAATGGCTATTGAACATGGTACCTTCACCATATATAGAGAGAAAAATAGATCAAACAACAATGATGTACAGGACAAGCCAGCAAATGGTAAAATTATTATCATTATAAGCAAGAATGGAATGCACCAACTTTCTAATATGTCCAAAATTGCAGCAAAGCGTGAACCATAAGTGATACTCCGAGACACAGAAAATATATTAATAACTCCAAAGGAAGACATTTGTGCACATTACACTTGCAAAAATACAAGATGCATATAGGTTGCATGATAACCAGCCAGATTTCAGATATAAAGTAGAATTTTCACAGACCACGTTCCTTATATACCACTAAAGTACTGTACCATCTCTTTCAGGAGCGCAAGTAGAATGCATACTCTAGCAGAGTAGAATCAGAGCTGTCTCTCCTGTTGTCTGCAACTAAGCGACATGGTTTTCATCAGTAAATCCAGAAAGCAATCATCCAGGAGAAAATTTGAATGGGAGGGGGAAAAAAACTCCCCACAGACATGCCATTTAATCAACAGCTCACTAGGAGAAATTTGAATTGGAGAAACAGGAACATTTCATAGATTAGAACCATATACATACCATGACAACTTCTCATCACCTAAGGATATTAGTACCAATCCTACCAGAACCATACCCCAAACCCAACATCAGACAAGGAAGCACAAGCATGACCCAGCGGGCCCATCATAATTTATCATATAATAACAGGACTCCCTGTACAGAATTAGCACTGAAATCTAACATTCCGCCTTCTAATCAGCAGGAACTAGAAGAACCATGGGATGGCGATGTTAGCCATCGCACCGAGAAAGGGAAAGCTGGAAACATCTGAAAAGCTCCTCCAATCTGCACCACCAGCAGCAGCACGGCGCCGATCACCTCTGCTGCAGGAGGAGAAAGAAAGGCACATGAAGAAAAGAACCAACTTTGTGGGGGAAAGGGAAGGGAAAAGAAGTAGGAGAGCACCAACGGAGACAAAAAAAAAACGATTTCTTACCTCGTCGATCTTGTACGAGTCCAGATTCACGTCGGCGAGAGACAGCCCCGGGTACAGCATCTGCAATCAACCAATACCAGACAGGATTGAGCAACGGCGGTCGAAAATTCGCGCACCAGACCAGAACGTGCTAGAGGCGAGAGAGGCGGTAGAAGAAATCCTTACGTCGAGCTGGCGCTGCACGGCGCGCGGGCGCTTCTTGGGCCGGCGCGGCGGGCGGGTGCCGCGGATGGCGGCGAAGTCCTCGGTGATCTCTTCTCTGGTGAGCGCGGCGGAGAAGGCCCTCTTCCTGGGCACGGCCGACGCCGCCGGCGGCGGCGACGCGAGAGGCGGCTGCTGCTGCGCCTGCCCTCCGGCAGACGGCGCCTTCCCCGCTGCGTCCGATCTCGACGCGAGCGGCGCGACGGTGGCGGAGCGGCGGGTGCGGAGGTTCCAGGGGCGCGGGGGCTGCGAGGCGGACGCGGCGCCGGGGGAGGAGGCCTGCGGGTGCGGGTGCGGGTGCTGGTGCGGCTGCTTCTCCTTGTCCGGCGACGGCGTGTGCGGGTGCGGCGGCGGGGACGCCGGGCCGCCGCCGCCGTCCTTGGAGCAGCGGAGGAGGCGGTGCGCGCCCCAGCTGAGCGTCGGGAAGGCGAAGTCGTGGAGGCGGGTGCGATTGGCGGGAGCCGGCGACGGGGACAGGGATGCCGTGGCGGGGGAAGCGGGCTTGGCCGTGGCGTGGTGGTGGTGGTGGTCGGAGGCTCCGGCCATGAGGACCATGAGAGAGGGGAGAGGAGAGGAGGAAGGAAGGGGCGACGCGAGCGAGACAGGAGGAAAAGGGGGTGAGGTTTTCAAAAAGGCAGAACGCGAGAGAGGAGACGCCGAGGCCGCGAGCGCCCCTGTTCTGTTGTGTTCACCGCGCCCGCCTGCTCCCACCACAGGGTCCGGGTCGGCGCGGAGCCTCGGTTCACCGATGGATGGACGGATGAAGCGGTTGGAGATGGGCGGTGGGGCGGTTTCTGGTGCTCCGTCCCGCGGCTTGGCTGGTGGCGTGGCTGCGTGCGTGACCATGACCGCGACCGCGACCGCGTCGCCTGCCCTGCCACGAATAAGGGGTGCTGGGATCCGGTAAAATTTAGAAGGTTTCCCAAGAGAACGTTGGATGGGTTATTCGATACTAATAAAAAATAAATTATAAAATCCATCAATACTATATGAGACGAATTTATTAAATCTAATTAATCCGTTATTAGCATATATTTACTGTAGCAATACATTGTCAAATCATGGGCTGATTAGGCTTAAAAGATTCGTCTCGCAAATTAATCATAAACCGTGTAATTAGTTTCATAATTAATCTATATTTAAAGCTCCATGCATGTGTCCAAACATCCGATGAGATAACGACTAAAGTTTAGGAGGAGGAACCAAACACCCCCTCAAATCGGCAGCGAGGGCACCGCCAAGCCGGTCTGTTTGGCGTTGGCCGCGACGCCAGCAGTGCGGTCTGGGTTTCCTTCCTAGCTGCCCTTTTCCCTCCCGCGCCGCCCCCCCTGCTTCAGGGCCAGAGCCCAACCCCAGATGGCCTATTCTTTGAGTTTGTCGATCGATTCAGGCATTCAGCTTCGGTAATGCTCCACATCCGGACGGAGGGACAAACAGATGGGACCGCACAACGCTCGTCCACGCGCTGCGCCGCACGCCCTAGCCCACGCCTCCTGTCGCAATGCGCTCCATTCACCGACGAGATGTAAGCGCCGCCGACCACCTCCGCACCGCCGCGAGCCCCTGCTTGAAGTCGTGCCTCCTATCGTAGCTATGCTCCATCCGCCGACGAGATGCCCCGCGCCAGACCCCCACGAGCTCCATGCGCGTCACCGACCTCCATGCCGCCGCGAGCTCCATGCGCCGCCGCCGACCTCCGTGCCGCCGTGAGCCCCATGCGCCACCGCTGACCTCCACGCCATCGCGAGCTCCATGCGCCGCCACCGACCTTCATGCCGGCGTCAAGTTCCACAACGACGAGCCTCCATTCGTCCAGAGCAAGGTGATATCGCACCGAAAAGCACATGTTGCAAGCGTATATTTCAAGTGTTTTAGATATTTTTAGAGGTATGTTGTAAGTGTTTTATATTGATGCGGTAAAAGTAGATTTGGATGTTGCACATGTTGTAAATGGCTATACACGTATGTTTCAAGTGTATGTTCCAAATGTTTCATCTGTTTTTATATGTATGTTGCAAATGTTTCATCTGGATGTTGCATAGATCTGCAAGTGTTTCAATTGTTTCCATATTGTCGATGTTTCGAGTTGCCACCGATAAGTAAATTTCTAATATTGCGCGTCTGACTCGAATGGTGTGCTTAGAGGACACGAGGTTTATACTGGTTCGAGCAGAATATCCCTACGTCCAGTTCGTTCCTGCTGCTCATGTTACTAGCACTAAAAATTCATAGTAGGTGTTACAAACGGGCGAGAAAGGGACATGTCCCAAAGTCTATGGTGAAAGGAGTGAACGAGTGCTAAGAGAACTCGGTTGCTACTCAGCCATGTGTTCAGGGTTCGATGGGTTCATGATGGTTCGATCGGATCTAGCTTGAATCGATGTGATGTGTTGCGATGCCCCTTATGGGACGCCCTGCTTTCCCTTTTATAGGCTAAGGAAAAGCATGGGTTACAGCAGAGGAAAAAGAAGAGAGAGAGAGAGAGCCGAAGGCCTTCAGGATCGTCAGGTCTTTCTTCTCCTTCATGCGGGTCCCGTCGACCCTGTAGATGTCAATAGGGATGGCTTCGCATCGCGATCCTGTCTGTCACTAGCGCCATGCGTAGGCGTCATATGCCGGTCATGGAGCTCCACTCCATCCTGGCAAACGTCGTGGTGAACTGACGCCCCCATCAGTGTTCGTATAGGGGCTAGGTAGAACAGCACCGATACGCCTAGACATTGTTCTTGATGTGAATCCTCTGGTATGGCCCGTCAACGCCACAGGTTACATCGAGGCATGTCGGTCTCTTCCCTAGTGTTAGAGATTTGACTTAGGCCCATACACTTGGACCTGGAGTGGTTGGCGGCGGTACAGGTCTTCGTCGGACGAGGCGAAGCCCGTAGCCTCGGGGTCGGGCGAGGCAGAGTCCTCCCCAGAGGTCGGGCGAGGTGGAGCCCGCGGCCTCAGGGTCGGGTGAGGCAGAGTCCTCCCCCAGAGGCTAGGCGAGGCAAAGCGTAGGCCCAAGGGTCGGGCGAGGCGGAGCACAGGCCTAAGGGTCGGGCGAGGCGGAGCACAGGCCCAAGGGTCGGGTGAGGCAGAGCGCAGACCCAAGGGTCGGGCGAGGCAGAGTCCTCCCCCAGAGGCTGGGCGAGGCAAAGCGTAGACCCAAGGGTCGGGCGAGGCGGAGCGCAGGCCCAAGGGTCAGGCGAGGCGGAGCGTAGGCCCAAGGGTTGGGCGAGGTAGAGTCCACGGCCTCGAGGTCGGGCGAGGCAGAGTCCTTCCCCAGAGGCCGGATGAGGCGAAGCGTAGACCCAAGGGTCGGGCGAGGCAGAGCGTAGGCCCAAGGGTCGAGCGAGGCAAAATGTAGACCCAAAGGTCGGGCGAGGCGGTGCCCTCTCCCAGAGGCCGAAAGAAGCGGAGCTTACACACCGGGGGGTCGGTTGGAGCTGTAGTCACGCTCTTGACTGCTTGGATGAGTCAATATTGATGGTCATTAGCTCCTCCTCTTTTGGTTGGTCCCCGACAGTAGCCCCCGAGCCTATGGAGGAGTAGAAAACTCCTTCGAAGGTTTTTCTGAGCGGGAGGACTCTGATGGCCTTGGCCTTCTTTTGTCGCCCACAGCGTGACCCGAGGATAGTGATTCCCTTTCATCGAGATCGGACCCCTCGGGGGTATAGCCGTGAGGTTTGGTGGGTCGAAAAAGGTCCTACCCTGATTTCAACCCCTTCGGGGGTCTGTCGTTCCACGACCGTGCGTTCGGTCTCCTTACGAGCCCATCTTTCCTCGAGCCCCCACGCGTAATGGGGGGTCCACTCGAGGGTTGGCTCGTCTTTGTGATCGTCACCCCATCCACGGTTTCCGCAACCGGAGGGGCTGAGTCGTGCCATGATTTTCCTCTATGGATGAGCCACGGTGCTCGGTGAGTTGTTAGCTAGCTAGTCCAATTGGGGCCTCGGCATCCCGTTCATGGGGATCCAGCTCGGGTCAACTGGTGACCGAATCTAGACCCTCGGTGGTCAATCCATATAGTTCTCGGGTCCGTTCGACCGGTCCTGAGGGCCTTCATGCCTTTCTTTCGAGGAAAAAACCATGGATCGTATCCGGCCGAGACTCGAATATGGGCTAGGATGCCTACGGCGCTCGTGCGCCTGGGTATCGGCCGCTAGCGGGCCCATCCCTTTCCACCCCTCACTTAAAAAAGGTGCCCAAAGCGGTTGTCAAACCCGTCAGTGGGCCAACCTTCGAACTCCTAGGCCTAGATGGGCCATAGTAGAGTTTTTAGCTCCGTATCCCTTACCTATGATGGGTCATGGCCCATCTAGAGAGACGAAATGTTCGGCGAGTTTTTTGAGGGAATGGATAGAGATTGCGTGCGCGCGTCCCATGGTGAGACGTGGTGGCAGATCATGGTAGGCATGGAGATCTAGGTGGGTGGTTGGTTTCCTTGCACCTATCGCCCCTATAAAACCAAAGGGTTCGCCCCTGGGTTCCATACCTTGCATCCTTGCCTCCGCAGCCACGACCATCGTGGCCAATCACTTAGGTTTCCTGCCTTTGCATCCCCATCGCCATCGAGCCCGCATCCATCCACCCCCACCTCCAATGGATCCATGGTGCCGCCCCGACATCACCTTCCAGCGCATGGAAGGCCTCATTCATTGCGGTCTTCTCTACGCGTGGACCTCGGCCAAGGAGTGGCTTGTGCCCGGTGAGGAGGATATGCCATCGCCACCCGATGGCTATGTGGTGTCGTTCGCCCACTTCCATGAGCGTGGGTTCGTGACCCCCGCCCACAAATTTCTTCGAGGGCTGCTGCACTATTACAAAGATCGAGCTACAACATCTCAACCCCAATGGGATCCAGCATATGGTGATGTTCATTGCCCTGTGCGAGGGGTTCCTAGGGATCAGCCCCCACTTTGATCTGTGGAGGTACTTCTTTGCTGTCACCCTCCAGAAGAAGAGGGAGAAGAGCGTGGCAGGCAGGAGCTGCATATGCCGATGGGGTGCGCCGACATCCAGCTCTAGAACAATTAGGTCGACGAGTACCCACCCATGTGGCTCTTAACGTCCAACAAGGGGTAGCACTCGTAATGGTTCTACCTCAAGAACGACATCACTGCCCCTCTGTTGGAGTTCACCGGACGCTTGATCGAAGAGGCCCCAGAGTCGTGGAGGAAGTGTGGTGTCCCGGAGGACAAGAAGAAGATCCAGGACCACATCGCCGCCATCCATATCCTAAAGGAGAATAGTGTGGCAGAACCATCCAAAATAACACACCTTTGGAGGCGCTCGTCTTCCACCAAACACTAAGCACCCCGAAAGCAAGCTACATCGGTGGATTCTGTCGAGCACACCCTATGGGAGAACTCGAATAATCCATATTTTTCCTCTAGGATCCAATAATGAGAATGAGTTTACAATACTTAGTCCATTTTATACAACCAGGGTTCTTAGAAAATATATTATTATAGTACCAAGTTCAGAGTGTGGAATTTAAACAGTGGAATTACAATAAACGTCTATCGATAATATACAAGGATCCGTTTGTGCCCACCAGAAGAATCCTTCACACAACAACTACTCCTCAAGTTGCACCTACAACAAGGGTAAATAAACTCTGAGTACACAATGTACTCGTAAGACTTACCCAACTAGTGAGAATAATTTCCTGACTCCAAAGGATATGATAAGCTTTATGGTTTGCTGGGTTTCCTTTTTGCGAGAAAGCAATACTAGTAGTGAATCCTTATGTATGTTTTTTATTAGCAGTCCTGATTAGTTCATTATCTAACCAGTCTAGGTAAGCACATATTCTACCTTCAAGCAAGAGTTGAGCAAACAGATCCATTTCACCATCTTTT